TATTATTATACCACGCCTACGGCGTCTGGTTACTTTTTTATCTGTTCGCCTAGTTTTTGGTTTCTATTTATGTATCGATGATTTCATTATTATAGTTGTGCACTTATGTGTTTTCTTGTATCAAAATATAGCTTCAAAAAGTTACAATTTATTTGCTATGTTTTAGGATTTCGTCTGTCCTTTGCCAATTTCTTTCAGATTCCGTTTGTATCAATTTTAAAATCTCCACGCGCACATAATACGGTAGGAAACATGAATCCTATCATTCCTTTCATTCTTACATTCCTCTTCCAGTTTTTGTTACATGACTTTAAAAATTCTGTTTGTATTAGAATTCGGAGTGGGAAGTAAAAAGTTCGCACAATTATTAATGCTTATATTTTACTGCAATTACATTTTACATAGTAGAGAAACATGAAGGAAGAAAAAAAATAACGTTCTTATCTAATTTTTATTTCTGATAACGTATTTATGTAAGTGTACGAAATGTCTTCACTTCACTTCGAGGACAAGGCCTTCGTAAGCAACAACAGGGAGAGCAGAGGCGTCATATTTATCTCTGAAAGACAGAAAAATAAAATACTTAAGTATCGGAATCACCTATAAACCACAAGCAGATAAGATTATCAAGATTAGTCCAAAAGCGTGAATTTTGTAGATGCTATCAATCAAAGAGATTATATCTTCATTACAACATACCCTTCATTCTTAGGTGAAGCTACACTTCTCAATTCAACTTGGACTGTTCCAGAAACGTTCTCGAAATAAGTGAGGTCAACCACATGGTCAGTATCTCTCATATTCACGACTATAATGTAGGCTTTATTATTGTACCATCTGCAAAATAACAAGAGCAAAGTAGTGTGTTGTTTTATACGGCCTGATAGAACTTATACTACCGAATTCTTCTAAAGCTGAATATTATATACGTACCTTCTGAACGCAAAAATATCTTCGTTTAAAGCCAAAGATTCGTAGCGGCCATATCTGAAGACTTTTTCTTGACGGAGCTTAGCTAGGGCCTGATAGACTTTAAGGTGAGATTTTTCAGCTGCCTTCTGGAATTCTACATTTAAGGTATTGTAACCTTCAGCAACTGGTAGCCACGGCTTTTCGGCAGTAGAGAAACCTGTGGTCAAGATAAGAATATGTAAAAGTTTAGATTTTAAACAAATAACATTTAAAAATAGGAAATGAAACGTTAGTCAGTCGGCGGTGACCCGAAACATTGTAGGAGTTTTGAAAAAAGAAACAAACTCGTGATTTAGATCCAAAAATTAATTTCATTTCCAAACACTAAAAATCGCGAAAATCTATGAGCTCAACACATTTAATATAATGTATAATTATTAAATATTTTACAGAAATGCACAATATTGGCCGATGCGGTAGGTAGCAAATTACTTTAATTTAAAATAATTGGCTAAGGTCAATGACTCTGCATAATAACATACCAGCATTTAAGCCATCGTTCCATTGGAAAGGTGTCCTTTCGGGATCTCTGGACGATTTCCAGTAATTAATCGGGTCATTGGTGATGCAACCACTTGGATCCACTGTATCTTCCCAGCTGACGTAACCATCGACCATTCCAATCTCTTCACCCTGAGACAACAAAATAATACACAATGAGAACTTACAAAAAAGAAAAAAATTGTTTTGCATTTTATACTACATATTTTATACTCCGAATGCCAGCTTCTCCGTAGGTACGTAATTGTAGATTTTTCCGTTCGATACGAAAAATAGCAGCGAGATTAAGATAAATCAACTACTACTGACTCTACAACTCCAAGACTGCGCCAATTATATAGGGTGGCCGCAGTGGAGATGAAGTAAAGACGAGAAAATATGATGAATAACTATATCAAATTTCCACAAAGGTATTTCTTAAACTAAATAATTTTAAGAACGTCTGAAGTTAGGTACGTTAGGTCTAAAAGTACTTATACGGAAAAGATCTTAACTAAAGGAATTTAGTCTACGTCCGATGTTAGGAACGTTGGGCCGAAAAGTGTCTCATAATTATAATTAAAATGACGAGTTTTGCATCGGTCACGTTGCAATGCACGGGGCGCGCGTTCCGGGGTGCGCGAATGCAAGTGCATTGAACTGACGTTTTAGGTATGTGTGTTATGCAAATCTGGATACATAACATACACAACAACAGTTAGATACAGGTAATTGATGTCATTAGTTTTCATTGAAGAAAGTAGTATCGTGACTTATCGTTAAGTTTACCATGTAAGTAACACCAACACCAGGAAGCAACAAGACGATCATGTTGATTCCATCAACAAGAGCGGGACCGTATCTCGTAGCCATGCGACTGTTATCGTGATTACCGACCTGAAAATTAGTTGAATCATCAAAACAATCAACGCAAATTGCTCGCTTATTTATGTTCACGCGGATGTATACTTACTATCCAATTAGCTTCTTTGTCCACTGGCTTGTAGGTCAAGAACTTGTCAACAGCCCGTTTAATGTCAGCAGCGGAAGACGATGCATCGACATCAGTAATCAAGTCAAAGTTAAATGGCATTTGAGCTCCAACTCTGTCACCTTCACCGAAATACTTTACAACGTTTTGAATAGTAGCATATACTTCAGTCATCATCACCCTAGAAACACCATCTTTGGCTTTGAATTCATCTAGTACATCTCTCCAATCATAAACCATGTAATACGTTTCATTCTGGTCCTTGGTGTAGATATGGTCAAGGGAAGCGTGAGAGCCGGCGTCTTCGTTAATTTTACCTGACAAGGGTTCATCAGGGTATTTACCACCAAACAGTGCCTTGTCGACTTCAAAAAGGTAATTAACTGCATCAACTCTATACCCAGCAACACCCTTTTCGAGCCAGAAACGAATAACGTTCTGCAAAGGAATATAAGAAAAAGTACACTACTAAAAAAATATGCGAAGGGGTAGTAAAAACTAACCTTCATTTCCTCAACAACGTCAGGGTTACGGTAGTTCAAATCAGGCTGACCAATAACAAATTGGTGGAGGTAGTATTTGCCTACTTCTTCTCTATATTCCCACGCACTGCCACGAAAACGACTCAGCTGTAATAAAATATATTGTACTTATATTTGTGATTCGTATATACCTACTTATTATACTTTGAGTCGAGACTCAAACTTAAAACTTATTGTTTTTGCATGAATAAATATTAAAATACGTTTAATTCCTTTTAAAGTTCTTACCCAATTATTGGGTGGCTGTCTCTGGCCATTCTCATCAATCACTCCATCTTCCCACACAAAGTAGTTATAATATTTTTCGTGACCTTTCAACGCTTCTTGGAACCAAACACTTTCATTAGAAGTGTGGTTAGGTACCAAATCAAGAACTACTTTGATTCCTGTGGAAAAAATGGTATAAGAATACTTTACAACAAAATGAAAATTTCTTAAAATACCTTCGTTTGCTTCATTGACTTACAAATAAATGGACGACGGGTCTTAATACAAAAACCACGAAAAAAATGTCCCTAGTCAACCTATTTAAACGTAGGGACATGTAAAGGAATATAAAAAAGCTAAAACGTTGAATTTAAATTGTAATGTCATCGCAGTACTGTCTAATTTTGCTTGCTTCGCTGTCAGAAGAAACAAACGAAGACTAAAGCGTGAATGACGCTCTGTATACGATTTTAACGCCTTATAAGTTCGGACACTTTTTAGCGCGGACCCGACGACGTCCATATAATTGTAAGTCAATAGTTTGCTTAGACATATTTCTTCCGTTATTCAAAAAGGTTTATTATTATAGCATTGCTACAATATCCTTTTACGAAAATGAAACATAAAAACTTTATTATCATAACAAAGCTACCTGAGTAATTAACCTCCACCACTTTTCGTCACAATGCTAGTAATTAAATATTTTTTCTTACCAAGTTCGGCAGCTCTTTTCATTAAAGCCTCAAAATCTTCCATTGTACCATATTCGTCATGAACGGCGTAGAAGTCTGCGATGTCATATCCAAAGTCATACATTGGTGACTGGAACATGGGTGATAGCCATATGGCTTCGACGCCTATATCCTTGATGTGTTCGAGTTTTGACGTGATGCCTTAGAAAATAATATTGGTACGTTATTGAAATCGTCATAAATTACTTCCAATTGGTAGGTCTTTACATTACAAGTGATTGGACAGGTTCATTGATATTTAACAAGTGGCCACCTTTGTAATATTATGACATCAACGTCGTCTAACCCATTCCACTTCACACTGCTGGCCCGATGCAAGCTGGGGACTTATGAAGCTTCTTTGACGTGCAGGGTTAAACAAGTTGTTTTCTTTCACCGTCCATGAGAGATATGGCGACTAAAAATTCACAAATGTACGTACGTAAATAAGAAATTAAACTCATAGGTCTATAACACCACAACGTGACCTGTCAAATAAGAAGAATTCGTTCTCCGACTAGCCTATTACCGCTCTTACTTTTTTATAGAAAATATATTGCGTTTCAATTCCTTTATATTAATACACACCCGCAGATGTCGAAACCTCGCTCGATAGCGTTTTCGGAAATTTTGGGCCCATATGATCCTGATGCAGAGCTACCACCATATGGGCACCAAAACCATGTGGTATATAAATGCTCGAAAAAATAAGATTGAAAATTGATCACTACTCACCATTGAGATCTCCAATTCCATCACCATTGCTATCAGCGAAGGAACGAGGATATATCTGATAGAAAATCGTAGTTTCCCACCAGTCTAGATCTTTTTCTCTAATGCTACTGGCAGCACATACTGCCAAAACCAAGGGTAGTAAGAAAACCGCCCTCATGATTTAAAAGTCAATTAATAGACGCTAACTTGCCAAGAACAACTTAGCTACTGGTTGCCAGTTGAGATTTGCAGGGATTTAAATATAACTTTTAAGCGAACTTATTATCTTTTTTATCATAATTACGGTAGATAATGACATTACTCAAACGTAAAGAGATTCATAGAATGTGACTACTTGAAAAACAATGAGTGTTTTGATATAATTTATACAAAATTTCCACTAATATAATAGTAGATATAAATTCTCGTGATCGCGGCACGACATGTAAGTATGATTGTAAGTAAAGGTTTATAGAGCGTCAAAGTGTGCACGGGTACTGCCGTCTAGGAACAGGTATTTTGCTTGGCAAGGAACAGGAAAAAATGCTGGACGAACTGTGAATTTTTAGTAGCGGAGAAGCCTTTTCAGTAGATGTAATTAATAAATAGGACAAAAGTTCGTTACAATTATAATTGTAAATCAATTTTATTTTGTCAGGAACGCATTCATAACTATAATATAGGTAAAATATTCATATAAATATTCAAATGAGCTGTTACAAAAATATAATACAAACTACAACTTCAGTCAATTGACAGTTATTAAATTCGAAAATACTATATGAAAGTAACATTTTCACAGACATCACTGATTTAATTAGACGTTAATTTAAAAAGGCCATGAAAGGAAATTCGAAAATATTCTTATTAAAAGCATCAAACTTGCATCCGTAAAACCAGTGCTTCATCGGCAGCTAAGTCCAAGTACGT